GCTTAGGGGTTGAAAACACCTGCATTTGCAAAATTTTCACAATCCCTCCTGCATCCCCAAGAAAAGAGGACCAAAGAGAAAAAAGAACTGGAAAGGTTGAATTCAGAATCATCCATGTCAAAGACAAGATTTAAATGTATATATACAGTTCTGTAACACAGTATATTAGCAGGCAAAAGACCTAGGTTCGGGTTTCACCGTCACTCATTTATGAAAACCGTGTACACAAGCAGCCATGTTGGCAAAAAGAATTAAATGACTACATCAAGCTATTTCAACCAACCAGAAGCTACCTAAAGGAGATCAAGGGAGAGAAGAAGGAATGCCAATAGGGCGGGTTTAGGCCAGGGACCCATTTCTCAAACCCATACTGAAGCCCAAACACTTAAACCAAAAATGCATTAAAAAGATCCCACGTCAATTCTTATGTAAATATGGTGAAACGCAAGTCTATGAAAGAACTCGTCATTAAATAATGGGCTTTACATGAATATACCACTTAATTGGATTTATGGTCTTATAATTTTAGTTCATTAGTACAAACTTTGTATTTATATTTTTATAAATATAACATAAAACATATAAACTAATCGGGGCGGGATCATGTTCCCCACCCTGTCCTGGTCCCCGAAAATCAGTGGGGTAATCCCCGCATCATCGGGCTGATCCCCAAGGGAGCAGGTTATTCCCGCCATGTTGCCATCCCTAGAGAGGAAAGATGGTGAGGGGCGAAATGATTGCAACAAGTTGTTGTCAGCAACACATGTTTGACAGATTTTTTTTTTTTTTTTTGGAAAGAATGCGTTTTTGAATAATAAATTTTTGGTGAACGTGTGGTTAGAAAGAAAGAAATTTTTTGGGTTCGCGTGAAAAATATTTTTAGAGAATGTGTGGTTGAAAATGGGTATTGAGAAAAAAAAGTTTTGAAGGAATGATCATCAAACAGGGGCCAAGCAAGAAGGATTGCCTACATTTATGTGGAAAAAAATGTGGCAGAAAGAATAATAAAGACAAGATTTCCGTGCAGAAGGAATCTAGCGTCAACCAGTTACAATCATAGCAAAGGCAGGACAAACTGTAACTCATCAAATTGGATTCAATTAAAGCAACAAATTGAACCATCAAACAACGTACAATCCCCTAAATGATTCAACTCAAAATACAGCGAGGGAATGGGAATCTAAATTAATTTTTTTACTCTCACCCTATATTTGGAAGGAAAAAAATTACTATATCCAAGTTAAGACGAGCATAATTGATAATTCCAACCCAACGAACGGGTAAAGTTTTAAGTCAACCCAAACTGAAAGCTAAAACCTTGCACGTTTTAGCAAAATAAGCAAAAAATAAAAAAGCAAATACATGAAATCAGAATTTCATATATATCTGTAAAACCTATATATTTAAAGGAAAAAAAAATCAGACTCGATCTAACATTTCTTTACCTTCCACCAAACGAGATCGGAAAGGAAACCAAAAAGAAAAAACCTTAAAAAAAAAAAAAAAAAAAAAGCACTGCAGAGGCCCCAAATAAAATATCAATGCAGAAATATTCTAACGGTTTATTTTCTCAGAAACAGAAGTTTATATTCAAGAGTTAAGAGATGGAAGTTTACAGGTAGGGGATAGCGGGAATCTAAAGTTTCCGGTGAAAATGAAGCCAGAGACTCGCCAGCATTTCAAGGAGGTGTCGGAGTTGCTTGTTTTGCCTCTGTACTGTTTGGCTTTTTCTGCACCTACTCTGTATCGGACTCCACTGGCCTTTATTTATTCTGATTTATTTATCAGTTTCGATTACGTTTTTGGCAATGTGAGAGGAGGAGACGGTGTGTCTGATATGGATAATAAAGAAAAACATGCTCGCCGGTCTCAACTTGTTGGTAAATTTGCACCTAAGTCCTCACTAATGTTTTTACTGCAAATAAGTCTTCTCTGTTCAATTATATAGCCAGTGAATCCTCAAAAGTAGGTTGGGGATATGTTTACCACACACTCAAAATACTTAGACAAACAACTTTCTAAAGTTGCATAGCAAAGATGTTCTCAATCTAATTTTGTTTTCGACACACTCCAATGCTAATAAGGTACTATCCTCGAAGTCCGAATATCTTTACAAACACCTTCTCTCTTTTCTCGTCATAGTCAAATTTTCTAGTGCTTTTCTTCGTGGTCCAGTTTCCCTTATAATAATCTCATGTCCAATCAAGGTACTTGGTTTAGTGCTATTCATCTGGTTGGTAGGGGTTATCAAATTTTTAGTAAATTTTGATAAAATTTGACGAAATATGTAGTTGAAAAGTTACGGGATCCATTAAATATGTGGTAAAAATTGATTGTTGACTTTAACATAGATTTAAATCTGGATTTAAATCATTGCCAAATAGGGGTTAAATGTAACTGACAAAATAAGGCTTTTAAAGATATAATACACGATTGACCTCCATTTTTTTAAATTCATTTTCAATCATATATTTTATGAAATTCACAACTCTTATTAATTTTTTAACCATACATTTAATCAAATTTTATCAAAAATTACTAAAAATTTAATTTCTAGTTAAACCAAACAAGGGCATAATTTTTTAATTTATTTTATTTCAATCCTTTTTGTTTTAATTGAATGGAGCTTATCCTCGTCTTTTCAACCAATAATTATGATCCCAATGGAAAACCTTACATTTGGGACCTAAGCTCTAAATAATTAAAAATTTGCGACCAATTTTGTCAAACAAAATGAATAGGCACTTAATTCTTCATTTACTAATAGATGGAGAACTTTAGGTGTAATTTTTCCCAAGTACTAAGGAACGGATAAAAAAAAGGGAGGAACTGATTATAAAATAATACATTAGTTAGGATTGCTATCCTTTTTGGCTAAGTGGTCCTTAGTATAACAAATTATTCTTTAATTATATTTATAAGCAGTCAACTGTGTAATAAAAAACTAAATTAAGGGTCTGTTTGATTGCGAAGATGAAATTTGGGTGGAAAAAAAAGTGAATTTCAGGAAATTGAATTACCTAGAAATTGTTTTCTTGAAAATTGTAAATTATTGTGTTTGATTGGTATAATTTTTCACATGAAAAATGTTGAAGTAAAAGTGTTTTTTGGTGTTCGTTTGGCTTTGTTTTACATGAAAATTGTCAATTTAAGGGATATCAACTTCTACCATTGTTCCTAGAATTTGTTTCCATTGCAAAAAAAAAAAAAATCAAAAAATCATCTTATATTTTGGTGTTCGTTTGGCTTTGTTTTACATGAAAATTGTCAATAGGTATATCCTCTTTTACAATTGTTCCTAGAATTTGTTCTCATTGCCAACAATTAAAAAAAAAAAACAAAAAAAATGTGGAAAACCAAAAACCACCAACCCCTAGGAAAATAAAAGGTGGAAAATCACGCTTTAAGGTGTTGTACCTAGAATTACATGGAAAATGAATTCCCTGAAAAGTTTTGTCAATCAAACAGACCAAAAGTGAAAGTTGAAATTCGAACTCTAAGTTCCATGGAAAATTTGGCGAATCAAACGTAGCCTAATAATTAATTCCGGTGATTTTTATTTTTATTTATTAATAACCCACTAAATAATATGTAGACACTCGACAACGCAGCATTAACCACTTGAATACTAAAGTCTCAATTAGAGATAACGACATCTGAGCTTAATTACGAAAATGACACTCCCTTTTCAATGGTAATATATAATAAATTTATATGGCAATTTAAATTTTCAAAGGAAATACAAATTTTATCTTCCGACAACAAATGTAAAAAAATGGTTTTTCATTTGAGCATAATTTGAATTTAGATCCAATGGGATGTAAATGAAGATACAAATATGATATTGAATATATCAATTTACACCCAATTTTATACCACCATTAAAAATGATGTAGTGAAGATAGCACAATAATGCCATATTCGTGACCTTGAATGCAGATTCACTCGTGAAACAAAGAGGAGCAATAATCCAACTATTAGATAAGAGTATTACAAGACTCATTCAAGACCACATGTATATTTGGAATTTTCTTTATAATTTCATACTTTATAGGCTCATATAAGCATGTCATGGAAGTGTTTATAAACAGTTTAGATCATTAATAAATAAAATCGAGTGACGAATAAATGAGTAATGTGTGAATCTCTTGAAATGTGTAGATAAAAAGTAGTTTGAATATTTATAAAATTTTAATGCATGTTTGATTCTGATTTTTCACAAAAAAAATCAATTTTTTGACTGTTACTTTTCTAAGTCAATCGTCATTTTTTACTTCTTCTCTCACGAGTGGGACATACTTTTTTTTTCTAATGGTCAAAATATAAATTCTCCTAATCACAATCGAAAAGACCCTTATAACAAAATTGGGCACAGTAAAAATCAAGTTTTAATTCAATCAATCAATTGAAATCAGGGTATGTAGGCAAGATTTTTAAAAGTCAAAAGAATTTTTTGAAACCCTATATACGTCTTCTTCTGATTAGAATAAAGTACTTCCAGAATAAGACTCTTTTAGAAATTAGTAGCTTAGTCCATATTTGACAACCATTATTTGAAAACATTTTTTTTTTTACATACTCATTTTCAATCATACACACATAAAAAAATACTCTGTATGTAAACCCAAAATTTTTCTCTACTTTTTAATCAGGCATTCTTCTAAAAAATCATTATTCAAAATATTATTTTTCTCATATAATGATTATCAAACGGGGCTTAATTTCAAATAAAAATTAAAATAGCTTTTTTAGAATTCTTTTACGGGAAGCAAGAGAAAAAATAAAAATAAAAATTTATGTCAAATGGACCCTTAATAATTTGTAGTAAGTTTCAATAAAATTGTTTAATTTATTACGTATTAGATCAGATTATGAAACAAAAAAATGAAGAAATGACACATGTCGGGATAACTTTCTACAGATATAAAAGAAAAATAAATAAATAAGTAGATATCATTATCCAAAGCAAGGGGATATGGTGCCAGATGGTAGCATCCAAGTGGTTGGAGAGATAACATGCTTTCCTTAGGTTGATCATCGTCCAGTAAAAAGATATCCCATTAGTTCGGAATATTGCATTATTCATTACTAGACTCAAATTTGGTTGCAACATAGAATTGAGCGAGTAAAGATAATATGGCTACAAGCAGCATGGCATCTGGATTTGTGGTGGCACCAAATTTCACAGCAAATACAATAAGTGCACCCAAGAGTGGTATGCTATTCTTCTCTTCCAAGAACAACAATTCAAGGCTGGTTGTGAAGGCTGCAGAAGAGGCGGCAGCACCGGCAGCCACCACTGCTCCGCCAGCGGCTGAAGGTGAAGCCCCACCCGCAAAAGCAGCCAAGCCACCTCCTATTGGACCCAAGAGGGGCACAAAGGTGAGCGACAACTTGCCTTGTATTTAGTGTATATGTTTGATACACTCAGACTCAGCATGATAAGATTAGATTATACAAAACAAAAGGACATTGTAATGGGAAAAAAGGTAAAAGAGATCCATATACGCTGTTCAAGTCGATCAGAAGGTGTGTACTTATATAGTCCAAAAAAGGGCTTCTCGTTTAGCATTGAAACATCGTTAAGAAATCGAATTTATCTAGGTGAATTGCTGTAAGATTGGCAGAATATTGAGTTGATATTGTTGGCATATCAGGTGAGAATTCTCAGGAAGGAGTCCTACTGGTACAAGGGGGTTGGCTCAGTTGTTGCGGTTGACCAGGTGAACAAAATAAATACATACCCACACTGGCATGTTTTTGTAAAGAACATTGATATTCATAATCGCTCGCTACCAATAGTCGCCTTATGTGGCAGTTTGTTAATTAATCATCAAATAACAAACTATCTCATAAAAACACTACCGATAGTGACTACGAATATAATTATTGTTTCGTAAATTATGTCCAAATCTGATATTCAAAAATGTATGCAATACATATGCAGGACCCCAAGACTAGGTACCCAGTTGTTGTGCGGTTTAACAAAGTGAATTATGCAAATGTATCGACAAACAACTATGCATTGGATGAAATCCAGGAAGTCGAATGAGGACAATTCCATGTTTGTTATTAATGTAGAACTACTGTCCTGTTGAATATTTGGCATCTATTTTATACAAGAGCTTGTGTATGAAAATGGGTATATATCATGCTTCCTCTAGACCTTAATTCTATGGCAGCCGCTTTAGGGGCATGTTTAGCTTAGCTCTACAACACGAATACTCGTTTCAGGGACTAAAGGATTTCCCATAAACATTTTAATTGAACCCAGCATGATTAAAAATACAAATTTACTTACATGCAAATTTAACTTTTAAGCTTAACCATACATGCTCTAGCTCTATCTCATAGTCAGTCATGATTATGATAGCACAAAAGCAAACAACGCTTATTCATTCAATTTACTTTATAAGTAGCACTATATCAGTCATAACAAGCAATTTCTGGATTCAGAAGACGTGAATTTGAGAAATTAAGAACCCTAAAGAGTGTGATTTGTGCAATCTCCAGTACATGAGAAATGCATTCAACAACAAAATGAATCTAGTCTTAATACAAGCAAAACACACATCCAGATACCATTTAAAAAGCCAGGAAGTATCATTGAACTGACAGAAACCTAGGACAGTATCTTGTCAGGATTTGACGGAGCAAGAACTCAGGAACCCTTCAAGGATATTAAGACAAGCCTAACTCCCCGTCTTTTTGGCACCAGCTTCTGACAGCAAAGGTTCGAGTTCTCCTTTCTGGTGTAGTTTGACAGTATCTGCATCAAGAAACAAGAAATAAGAACTTTTACATAATTTTGTAAGCTGTGAAAACTTTCAAGTGTTGAGTACACTATGAACCGTCCATATTATTCTTGAAAATGGTATAAAATTGCAGTAAAATACCATAAGTCTGTCCAAAATTTTGAAATAAGTATCTTCAAAACAAATGGCTTCGAGGGACCAGATAGACAGAATATTGCACAAATCCGAAGCAAACAGAAAGAAAGTGAGAGAGAGAATAACTCACGGAACCAATCGAAGTAAAAATGAAAGTAACAATTGCAGCAATATTTTTTGAACTTATATAAGTGTCATGCAGAGGGAATGCTTCATAAAGTATCAGAAATCCGTCACTACTTTTTACCAGCAAGTGTGATGACTGACGACGCTATTTTGATAGAATAACTATTATCTACCCTTTGAAGCTAATACTATTTACACTAAGTGATGTCGTTGCATGAATGTTGAGAACCACTTTGACATTTCTTTCTTCATTCTAGAGACGAGCTCAAATATTTTGTCACAATCTCATAAAGGACAGGGTTGACAAAAGTACCTGTACAACCACCAATGTGCCTTCCCCCTGATCATGAAAGTGAAAATTATTAGAGAAACTCTTAACATTAACTACTAACTGATAAAATAAAATAAATAAAATTATGCACATTTAAGATTTAGAATACTAATTTGAACTCACAATATGACAAATTTTAATCAGGGAAGTTCCACCATTTGTCCTTAACTTATTTTCCAAGTAACAAGGTGGTTCCAAACCTTTTGAAAGAAGCAAGATGATCCCCAACTTATATTGATTGTGCAACTACAATGAAATATCGAGGACTAACTTGTTTGCGTTTAAAGGTTTGGGACCAATGATGCAATGTTCCCATTTTAAGCAGCAGCTAGATATTTTATACTCCATTGTCAATAAATACAGTGTTCTATAATTACTCTCATGATTCATTTCAGGTTCCTTGCATTCTCATATAAAACAAGAAGATGACTTATGCATAACAACACAAATTTCTGCTGCATATTAAACTCGTGTGAATGTCTATATATTCTAATTAAGAAGTGATCAATATACGTAGGAAGATTGTACAGCATTTTCAACATTTGTAACCTATAAACACATTGGGAACGGTATGTTGACCAGTAAGCTTTTCAAGTGCCTTCTGCAGTTGCAGTCCTTCAGAACCTGAAAATGAGAAAACTTCTTACAAGATGTGTCCAATCAATTAAAGGATGAAAGTTTGTTCAAGAGTAATGAATATGAAGGTTCATTCCTGATTGTAACTTCATAATGAGAACTAAACCACTAATTTTTTGTCAACATCTTTCTCATTTACGAATCATAGTGTAGGATAAGACAGTAGAAAAATCAGTACTTAGTAAAACAGACGTTCAAGAAAACCTGGTGATACAGTTCAGTATTAGCAACCACTGCACGGATTTTCATAAGAAGCAGTAAATTAGTGATGATCTTACTGAATTGAGGTTTATTATAAGAATGCAAGCAGATTTTTCTTCAAAACAGGCAGGTCACTAAAAATATAAATATTACAGTAATTTACAATGAATTTGTCAACTCCGTGTCATCCAGTTACTACAAGGAAACTATTACAGCACAAACAATTGCAGAAAATTAAGTATTGAAATAGAACAGTGACGTACGAATCGGCTGGCTTAAACATAATACAGATAGAAGCCTAAAATAGTGACCAAACTTCTCTACCACTGGAGGTCTTTCATAAATAATTTTTTTTCTAAGCCAAGTTTTTGTAAGCAAATGCACCAAACAAGTGGCGAAACCCATATACTAGAAATTAAGGACAACGGGATCAAACAGACTCAGTACGCCACTCCATGCACAAACCCATTTACAAGAAGCTATGAAGGTTGTCTCAATTGCATGGAAAATTTTCTAATTCCCAGTTCATCAGTTCCACTCCTTCCTCCCATCAAGTTAATATTCATTTCACATGTCCATGTTCTCCTCGTCACGGTGATTGTCGCATCCTTCTGGGATATCTGAAACCTCTTCCCCTCCTCTTCATCAAAAGACACACCCACGAATCCACAGAAACTTCTTATTTCCTCCCATTTGAAACAGATGCCTCTACTCTCCAAAGCCAAACCCAAGCATTTCAACTCAAACATTTTGGGTCAAGCTCATTGTCACTCTTGGACTCCTGTGTACTGCCCCGAATGTCATCTAGACTTGAAGATTCGCCTAAAGAATCATTGCAAACCTTTGTTTGTTCTTCATCCGATTACCAATTGTGTCGCTTGTTACTTGAAGACCCTATATAACTACTAGTGCAATGCACTATACTTTTCTTCAGCCTCTTACATTCTCCTCTATATTCCCAGTGGCAGTGGCAGTGGAAGCGGCAGTGCCAGCACTTATTTCGATGGCAAATATTTCGATGGCAAACGATGTCCCTTCTTGCCCACAAAATCAAATGGCGGTGCCACATTGGGGTTGACAACTTTGAAGATTGACTATACTCCTAATGGTATTAACAGGTCATTTGAAGTTTTACCACAGTCAACTTTCAAAAAAAAAAAAAAGTTTTACCACATTCATTGATTCCCCTATAGCACATGGTTAGCTCCTCAGAGTTTCACTTTTAGAGGTTGTAAAATTTTCAGGGGTCTCTTTTGTCTTCAATAGCTTTAGGCCCATTTCTTTTCGTGAAAACCTCATATAGATCATTGCATTTTTTAAGTCTAAAATTGTCTTTGCTATGTTATAGTCCATCTATTCTATGTTCTACCCCATTGCCCTCTGTAATGCATCTGACACGCGATTTTTCAAAAAAGTACTAACACGACTTGTTGCCAACACGTTGATTAAGTTCTTCATTTATACAGTATAAATTAAATTTTTCCTTGTTGAAATCTTTTAAATATAAGCACTAATTTGTTATTTACTAATAATTTTAAGTTAAAAATATATAATATTGAGTTAAAAAAGAAAAACGTTTATGACAAAGTGTCCGAACAGTGTCGGTATTGACACATGTCTGACAAATACGCTACCCTAGTTGAAATGTCTATGTTACAGAGGTTTCCCTTGTTCTCCATCTAATATGACAGGCTTGTTACATTAATATTTTTATTTTGGGGACCTTTTCCTACTCTGCATTTGGGCTCAAATAATGATATCTCCTAGATCTTCAAAAAGACAACTATACTTATTTTTCATATGAAATTACCATTGTCCACATAGTTTAGAATATGATTTAGACGGTGACTTACCAGTAGACCTGAAAACACCATTGGTTTCTTAACCTATAGCTCACCTCAAGAAAAAGACAGATTTGAATTCTTGAATAAAATCAGTCTTCAATGGATGCTTACTATTTTTCCAAGAAAATAAAATACTCCGTCAGGAATCTTGGGGAAATTGAAGTCTGACAAGTTTAAGTAATCAATGGCAAAACAAACTTACATCAACTATGTAGATAAATATGTGGTTCGAGATTGACAGCAAGACTTGAGCGGATGAGCATTCATTTCTCTAAGATTAACATGCAGAAACAAGGTAGTAACATTTGTAATGAAAAAAAGTGCTTCATCTTCGTTTCAAATGATGCAGTTCAGTAAAATGGAGAGATCCCCACTCCGAATAAGATGTTGTATACACAAATGCTATTTCTGTTGCAGGCACAAGGGCTTCTAATTACATTAGGTGACTTTCTAGTGACCAGAAATTCGGCAACTAATATCTGATACTGAGACGGAACTCTGAAGATATCACCTATTAAATTCGTACAATACCCGAACTCTTTTGAAAGAGTTGCATACTTAGTCATGAAAAACCTTTGCCCGGTACAAGAACTAAACATGTTAATCTGAGCAACTAGCAACAATTACACTGCTTTCTACTGCAGAAATATTTGGTTTTCAATCAGCAAATCCTCTGAACTATTCAAAAGATTTTATGGATATGAAGGCTCAACATAATTATAGAACACACACCACATCCAATCAAACATATGGAATCTTGAATCTTCCATGAGAATCGGGTGCATAAATATAATCAGAAATGAATTCTGTGTAAGAAACGATCAAAACATACCCAATTCGTCCAATTCAATAACACGCAGCTCCACATCAAGGCTCTTGAATAAATATTTAACCTCAGAAGAGTACCTTCAGCACAAAATTCAAGAAGTCCCATTTCAAATTTCTTCAAGGAACAATTAAATCTCACAAAGAGAGAGAGAAAGAAAGAGAGAGAGAGAGAGAGATACACTGTTTGCAATACTTACGAACACCAAGTTTTGGAGTAAACCACAACAGGGTTCTCGCTAACAGTCTTCTTCACAGTGTCTTCCAATCCTGAATCGGACGACATCGCCCGAATCTTTGTGGGTTCCACATTTCCTGTTCTTGAGATTACATTTCCGTTGAATTTGATGCTATTTTTGCTATATCTGGACAGATTTGAACTGCAAATGGGGAGGTGAGAGAGAGCAGAAATTTGGTTCCTCTGAAGAGAAGAAGTTGTAGAAAGAGAAAGAGAGTTAAAGGCTTGAACACTGAGAGCTATTGACGCCATTGTCCACCTGAAATTTCAGCTTCCTTTCATCAATCGTCAAACTCCCGGTCTCACCTTTCCAATGGGTTTTCTATGCCGGTGAAACTAACCGGAATCAGCCCACAAATCCTGTGGGCCTGATCGTGGGCTACGGCCCTATAATTGTCGGCCCAACACTTATTTAGGTAAAATCTTAATTTTCTGAAGGTATAAGTTACAGGAATTATTGAATTAAAGTGTTTTCAATATCTCAATTTGTAATGAGTTACAAGTTTTTCATTCAATAATCAGATATAATTATAATTTTAAATATTAATAATAATAATATAAAATTAAACTAATCCACTCCATATCCCCGATTCAGTTTCTTTCCAAACCCTAATACCATTCCACATTCTTCAACCTCTCTTCATCTTCTCTCCACCAACCTTCATCTTTATCTTTTTTCTATGAATTTTGCTAATTGTACTCGGGCGTTGACACTCCATGTGACATGCTTAGGGGTGTCAAAAAGGCTCGGTGGTTCGGGCAGCTCATTGCTCGGCTCAGGAAAAGTCCGAGCCCGCCCGGCTCGTAACTCGTAGTGACCGAGCTTCAAAATAAGAGGTCAGCCCGAGCCCAAGAAAGCCCGTGTGGCTCTCGTGTCGCCAAAAATGGCTCGTGACAATAATGCTCGGCCCGAGCAAAAAAAAATTTTTAAAAATTAAAAAAAAAATTGAGCTATTGCACGGCAGCAGGTTACAGCTGCCAGCTAGAGCAGCTATAGCTGCATTTTTTTTTACGTAGTGTTACCTTTAATCATATAGATTCTGAAATTCAAATTTGAAAAATAATGTGGATTTTTTTATCTATAAATACGGGATGATTTTTGAAGTTTTAAATCACTTTGCTATCGAGTTTAATTCGCATTATTTCTATATTATAGATTCGGATTCAATCATTCAAGTTTGAATTTCTTCTTTCTCACTTCTCATATAACAATTAATATATTCAATTTCTTTCACTCTACAGTCTAATATTCAGTATTTTTTATTATACTAGTTATTATGAATTTTACAAGTGATGAAATTAATCAGTTTGGCGGTAGCTCGAGTACTCCATCTAACTACGATGTATGTGAAAATGTTCCAATTAATTTGGAGGATATTGAAGAGGAAGAAGTTCAAGTACTTGAGACAAAAAGGTCAAAAAAAGAATTATCGGACTGTTGGCAACATATGACACGAAAAAAAATTGGTGTTGAAAATGGAGAAGATATTTGGAAAGCATGTTGCAATTATTGTGGCAAAGAACTTAGTTGGAAGCCTGACTCGAGCACAACGCATTTGAATAGACACGTATTAAGGAGTTGCAAAGCAAAACCAACCAATCTCGACTCGAAACAGACCTAACTAGTGTTTGGCGGTTCTAATTCTACTCTTTCCACCTTTGTGTATTCACAAGAAAGATTTCGTGAAGAAATGGCTGCATACGTGGTTGCAGCAGAGATGCCGCTTACGATGATAGACTCAATACACTTTATCCGACTCGTGTAGAAATATCTCCAACCCAGGTATTCTTCTTATTCTAGAAATACTCTTCGTTCGGATAGCATAACATTATATAACAGAAGAAAACAAATTACTATTGAAGGTCTAAAAAGTTTTAATAGTGTTATATCGTTTACTTCTGATTTATGGACTGGTTGTAATAGAAAATGTTATATTGCTGCTACGACTCATTATATTGATCACCCGTAGCTTCTACATAAAAGAATTATTGCATTCAGATGTGTAGAATTTCCCCATAATGTCACTAACATATACATGGTTTTAAAAGATATCATACAGGAATATGGTATACAAGATATGGTTCGAAATTTTACTTTTGATAATGCTGCAGTGAACAAAGTTGTTATTGAAAGATTTATTGCTGATCTTAACCTCGTATTTGAAAATTTATTTTTTCATCAACGTTGTGTATGTCATATTATTAATTTGATTGTAAAAGTTGGATTAGAACATATAAGTTCACATTTAGATAAAATTAGACAAGTAATAAATTTTCTTACTGTGTCACCAGTAAGAAAACAAGCATTTAATAGTTTGTGTGCAGAGTATGGATTACATGAGAAATCATTTGCCACTGATGTAACACATAGGTGGAACTCTACATATCTTATGTTACATTCGTGTGAAAATTACGATAAAGTGATTTCACTATATTATAATGGTAGGCATACACTCGGACTCGAACATAATTTGGAAGATTGGGAATTGACTATTGCATTTTAAGTGAAAAAATTCTTACAACCTTTTTTCGATACTACAAAAGAATGTAGCGGTGTTTATTACCCTACATCTTCTCTTGTTTTACAATTTTTTTCTACATTTCACAAGCATTTCATAAATATAGGAATTTGCCATTTTTTGCTGATGTAGTCCGCTCTATGGAGTTAAAATTTTGTAAATATCGGGAAGAGTTGCCTTCTTTATTTCTTTTAGCTTCAATAATGGACCTTCGACTTAATTTAATTGGCACAAAAACTACTGTAAAGGGGATATCAGATTTTTTGAATATAGAATTATCACACGTGCATATAGAATCTTTTTTATGTGAAATGTATAATTATTATGCTGAAAATGAAGGTCAGCGTAGTTCTACTTCCCAAAGTTCTTTTTCAAGAAATATTTCAACGAATTCCGAAAATTTATGAAATTATTTAGATAGCAATACAAGTGTTCCTTCATTTAGTTCTAGTTTTAGCTCATCAACATTTAGAGCGATCAATATTGGTGGTACAAATCTTGAAATTCCTTCTGAGTAAGCTAGGTATATGTGTGTGGATGTTCGTAGTGTGTTGCAACCGAACGAATTACAAGAATTTAGTCTTTTAAATTGGTGGAGATGTAACGAAAGACAATATCCAGTTGTATCAAAAATTGCACGTGATCTACTAACAGCTCTAGTGTTTACGGTAGCATCGGAGGCTGCATTCAGTTTAGGTGATCGAATTTTATCAGATGAATGATCAAGACTAAAAGAAGATATATTGGAGGTTTTGATATACTTGAAGGATTGGGAATGTGCAGAATTACGTGTTCAAGAACATGTTGATAGTATAATGGCCGAAGAGTTGCAGCATATCCAAACATAGGATGTTGTAAGTTTTTAAATTAATTTTTTTTAAGAAATGTATTTTTTAAATTTATTTGACTCAAGAAAATTGTACACGAAATATTTTATTCGTTTACAATTTTAACTCCGCCTACGTTGATTATAGCCGGTCCCAAGCCCGAAAAAAAGGAGGGTTGTAATTTGTAACTTTTATTTATTTTGTTATTCGTATAAATTACATAATTTTGAAAGTTGTACTTTTATTTAATTTGTAATTTGTATAAATAATAAATGATGCAATTTTTAAATTCTTTCAAAAAAATGTCATTAAACAATTTTTTTTACTTTCTACACTAAACAAATTGCACCACAACAATTGGCATGTGAAAAAAAGGTCATTAAAAATTGCCAAAAAAAATTAAAATTAAAAAAATCGAGCCGGCTTGGCTCGTAAAAAGCCCGAGCCAAAGCTCGGGCTGAGCCTTATTTTTTTGGCCGAGCTTTGGCTCGGCTCGACTCGGACCCAAAAAAAGCCCGCTACGATTTACTCAAGCCGAGCCCGAGTCAAAAATTTCGACTCGCTAGCCGGCTCGACTTGACTCGTTTACATCCCTGACATGCCTCTCACAAGAAGAGGGCCCATGTCGATTAAAAAAATGCATAGGCCCTTCTATGAGGAGCGTGTAACCGAACATGTTAACACTTGGTACATATAGCGGTGTCCTTTTTCTATTCGGTTGTCGGAAACAACTAGTGCAGCCACATGAAGGGCCACAACACGTAAGGTCACAGGATGGCTTAGAGGTATCACAACAGCGAAGAGGTGTTGCGCAACGTCACATAGTATAACACTTCTACATGAAGCATCGGCATCTCGATCTGCACAACGACAAGGCTATGTTGACTGGCGATGTCAAACCAATATTGCCAATTGTGATTTGTAGTTTGTGGTTGAATGTTGGCAATGTTAGATCTATTGGTTGAGCGTCGTACGATGTCTGTAGCTGTGGTTTTCGACGAGCTTCCACTTTCGCAGGCGACGCACTATTCAGATATTTGTAGTGCAGATTGTAATAGTGCAGGTAGATCTATTAGGGTGTGTTTGTGCAGCCAATGTAATATTTGGGAATTTTTTTGTTGGCAGTAGTGCGGATGGATCTGGTGATGGTGGTGGATTTTGGCACTGGTCCTAGTGTGGTTGTTGATCTGGCGTTGTTGGCAATGGTGAGGTAGTGCTCACTAATGATTATGGTGCAGGTTATGTTGGTGTGGTGGTCGTGACGACAGTCAAGTGGGTCTAATAGTGTTTGTAACCAATAATTTGGTTGATTGTGACCAAGACTAATAAATTGATTAATTTGTGATTAATAAATAATATATGACTTAAAAAGCGTGATTATGACTTACAATTTGTTAAGTTGTGGTTGAAAAATAACTTAGACTAACTAAAAATTTGTTAATTTGTCATCGTTAAATAAGTTAAGATTTGAAAATTTTGTGATTTGTGATCATTAAATGAATTATGATCTATAAATTTATGATTTTATGATCGATAAATAAATTGTGACATATAAAAAATTTTATTTGTGATGAAAAAATAGTTTGACCAATTAAGTTTTTGATTTGTGATTGGAAAATAATTTTGACCTATAAATTTTTTGAATTATGATCGAAAAATAATTTGTGAACTATAAATTTTTTGATTTGTGAACGAAAAATAATTTATAATCAATTAATTCAATAATTTGTAATCAAATTGTATAAATTATGATCTTAATATATTTAATTAATAAAATATATTTCTAATTAATTATTTCATAAATAAAATTTAATAACATCTAATTTTGAAGTTTTAAACCTTATTTCTTATTTTTGAAATGGGTCATAGTCTCTTAGGTATGAAATTTTCCCTTTCTGAAATCGTAAAGTAATAAAAATAGTGGTGAATAAATGGACATTAATTGTGGGTAATACAAAACTCTTACTAAAATTAATATTTGACTCTAACAATTAGATTCTTAAAAAATCATAATATTTCCCAAACATGCACTTCGGATAAATTTTTCGACTCCATTCAACTATGATATTTTTCCAATAATGCTAAACAATTTAACAAAAAGAATTAAAATATTATCTATTATCTTGTTTATTGAATTCTCTTTAATGCTTGCAATATTAAGATGCCGTTATTATAATAGTAAGAATTTAATGAAGGGGAGGCTGCGATTCGATTTGGTTTTAATTTTCTCTAAAAATTATACAGATGGAATTGCTGGTTCCATGCGAAAATAAGAATTAAATTGAACATGACGCACAAATTAGTCGATGAATAAATACATAGAATGTCCTAAAAATTATATATTTCACCAATTATTGACATGTCATATTATTATTGATCGGAACAAATGAAGCTGTTCTTCCGTTGAACAATTGGACTATGGAAACAATAGGTAATGCAAGTGATAAAACAACTGAAAGCAGGTGGTTACACTATCAAAATCTAAGAAAAACTCTAAAAACAATAAGGCTTCGTTTGGTTTAGTTTTCCCTTTTCAATTTTCGATTTCAAAACGGTTTTAATTTTCTTCGAAAACGCCACATTTTTGACATTTATAACTGAAAACATTCAAAACGATGAAAAATCGTTTTACATTTTAAGTTATAAATTTTACCTCGTTTTTCAATTTTTGAAAACGACGGATCAACCCTTTTTTTGCATTTTCGAAAACGAAAAAAGGCCCAAAAACGTCAAATCAATCACAGCTTAAACATCTTAAATTGAAACAAGGACTCCATTCTCATCCAACAGATCTAATTTTCGTTCAGCATTAAGAATAAAAAATGGGTCTGGAATAGTTTGATTCTCGATTTGTGGAATAAAAAATTACTTGTTTTCTGACGTTAACATAATCGAACTGATTGGTTCATGTCCTATTCAATCAATTCCAATTTTGTCCAATAATAATTTAAAAACTTATTTTAATTCTTTATTTTAATTCTAAGGATATTTATATCTGAACCATAATTTATGTTACATGCAGCATATTTTAACTGTAGTGAAAATTTTTAATTTTTGGTCATTTTCGCTTTGTCCCCAACTTTTTCCATCGCAACCTTATCATTAACCTTCAATTAATTATCTCGTCTCATTTTTTATGATGGGTTCTATTCAACATTTTGTTTGTGTACTTTAAAATAAGTGTGTTTTTGATTGAAAAAAAGAAAATCTCACAAAACAATACACACATAACAAACCATCAACATAGAACAATTAGAACTCCCATTTTAATCTTGTTAATGTGTTATTGTTATCAAGTGCGTACTTTTTTATTTTTTTTAAACATTGTAACGTGTTAACCCATGCGCCACCATTGTTGGTATCATCGCTGCCGCCACCTTTCCCAACCATCTTAAGTGGACGACCCTGCCACCAAATCTAAAATCCAAAACCTAACAAAATCCAAACTCTAAAACTTGCAATCAATAGTGCAACCACCCGATTTGAAACACCACCACCACAAGAAGGGCAAAAGATGGAGCCAATGACAAGGCATCGTAGGAATTCGAGGAAAGCAGAGACCGGTGAAGGAAATTTTAGCGCGTTCATCATTTCCATGAAGATCCAACAGATCCTTAAAAACACAACTTACAACTAATAACCACGTTATATATATATAACTGCATAGAGACTGTACAAAACCAACCACCATATATTTGTCATATACATTTTATCCTTCAATATTTCATTGTTTTACACGAGATTGGGTAGAGCATTTTCTTAACTTCCAATCACTAAAACAACACCCTTGACCCCTAATTCACTAGAAAGAATGCTAAAATTTGGAACAGAATAAAAACCAGGGAAATGGATCTATCGGATGTATTTCCCTTTCCCGTAGTGCTAAGGAACTTTTCAAATACCAAAAAAGATGAATAATTATATAGAAACTTGAAAGAAAAAAATAAAAATTGAAAAAATTGATGAATTTACAATGATTAAGCATATCCATGAAGGGAAGTTTCTTTACTATGCCCCCCAAAAAAGAAAAAGGGTACGTGCTCATAGGGTTCCTTAGCCTTACTCATGTAAAAATTCGAAGGCTGGATTCTCGAGAAGTTCTGTCACAGGCTCGACATCCGAAAATTCTTTCACTTGAAGGGTATCGGCCAGGTCATCAATTGAGAACGGAATGCTGCATTTACATGCGTTAGATTTGCATTTTCTGCTATCCAAAGTAAAGAAGATTACAAAAATAAATGAAGGAAGAACAGTTGAGAAACAATATTTACATATACGAACTTTACTAACTATAAGACTATTTTGAGCAGCCAAACCAAAACAACATTCACTTAATCCAGCAAACATACAGTTTATGCGCCGTAATTAAACCAACCATGAATTCCTTACCATACACAAAACAGCTGATGAAAAACTTTGAACTCATCAAAGGGCAAAACATATGATTCTTGAAGTAATTTGGGCCACATTTACATTTAGCTAAGCATTGGATGGACTCCAACATAAAATACAACATCTTTCTCATGTGAAATTTTCGTTACCAAAAAAAAATAATAATAAAATTTGTCGTTAATCAAATATTCTGAGATTTTTGTGATGTGCAGAGATTTAATTGTACAAGCATAATAGGAATAAAGAATACATCACCTAAAACAGTAATATAGAGATCTTGGTAATTAGGAGAGCCATCCTAGTACTAACACAAATACTCTACTAAGGTGGCATGTCCGTGTTTAACATGTAACGACACTAATACTCTCAAGACACACACTGACACTTGTCCAACACGCTATATGTAATACCCTCTTATATATGTATGTATGTATATTTATTTATTTTTTTCTTAAACCCGAGAGGTACTTCATGGACAATTTCAGGCCCTGTCCAACACAATGTGGCAAGTCCTATATCATATATTT